TAACATAAAAATACACCTATCATATTTGGTAGTGGTCTAAAAATAAAATACAATAACATTTTGTATATCATAATTACTAACGTCACAAATAAGGGTTTTATTTTATTTATCCTATTTTTTACAAAAGAAATATGCATTTTAGGGTGGCAGTGATAGTGGTTCGGCACCCCCTCTAGCCCCCTGGATATGTCCGATGGGTAGAAGCTCTTATATATTTGTAGCCCACTGTAACATATATTATTTGTTTTATCACAATCATCAATTTGTGAAACAAGTCATCTATATCAAGGTTTTTTCTTTTAAAAAAAAAAAAAAAAAAAAGGTCTTTAGAAAAAAAGGTGGGGGGGGGGGGCATGTGCCCCCTTCCTAGCCCTCCTCGTGTCGTTGGCCTTGACGTACATATTTAAATTGACATTACTTTAATATTAAAGGTTATTTGTTGAATATTAAATAAAATTAGCTGTGACTATTATTTTAAATTAAAATCAACTTTGAAATTTTAAGTTTTTAAAATAACTTAATTTTTTATTTTGCATTGTTGCGCGAAGCTTTAGTTTGGAAATCGAAATTAGATAAAGTTAAAGTTAAAATATGAATTAATTAAATAGTTAATTACGCACATTCTTTTATAAACAACTTATTAAACATAATCAACGCATATTTTTATAAACAATGAGTTTAATGTTTATTTTATATTATCAATATCTACATATATTTATCTAAAATACAAATAGTATAAAGCTTTATCAATTTAACCCTGAAAAAGAAATTTTTAGAATAACTTTTATTTTTTAAGAAAAAAAAAGGCGAATGTTTTTCCATTTAAATTCTAATTCTGGGTGCCTTAGCCCCCCTTAATTTCTGTTTCAGCCCCCCCCCATCCAAATGTTTTGTCCTTCCTAAGCCACTGTAACAGTTATGTATTACTTGTTTTTAAAACATTTTAATCATTTATTATATATGTTTTATTCTAGTTTTAATAAGTTTTTTTTTTTCATTGAATTTTTTTTTTGGCAATTTACCTCTCCAAGGCCGAGAAGGCCACTAGAGACGAGGAGGGTACTTAATTGTAATTATAACTCTCTCTCAACTCTATAACTCCAAAACACGAACAAGGCCATTGCGCGGAGAAACAAGTTGAGCGCGGTACTACTAGGGACGTGGTGTGAATCGAACTCGGAACGACTTGCTTATGAAGCAAGCGCTCTCCCACTACACCATTACCGCAAATAAAAATAAACAAGCCAAAAAAATTAACAGCAATAAAGATAAATAAAAGCATGCGTAAATTAAATTAATTTAAAAATAACAATTACAACGATAAAACTATAAGAAAATAAATAACAAGACTATGAAAAAAATATGAAAACACTCAATTAATAACAACAGCAAGCGAAAATAAAAATAATTAGCAAAACAGCACAAATAATAACAAACTTTACGCAAACAAAACACAAAAACTACAAAAT